AATTAAAATGTACGTATAAGTACATAGGTAAAGTGAACAAGCCAGGGAATTATTTAAGCAATTAACATCAAACTTAGCCAGATGAATATGTGCATAGGTGGTAAGCACTACTCAAGCATACAGGCTCATACAACTTACTTACTTACACATTTAAGCCTGTTATCTGTAGTGGAGCATAAGTCACTGACTGGCATCCTAACTACCTACTCTGTACTGGGCCTCTCTTTAAGAGTCTGTCAATTTCTCTCCATTTCTTGGCATAAACTGTCTCTTGGTTTCCCTCCTTTCCTTTGACTTTGAGTGTTCCCAGTGAGAATTTATCTTGTGACACATTTAAATCCTTTGCTCAATGTATGTCCTATCCCCTTACAGTGCTTCTTCCTGATTTATCTTTCGGCTGGTATCTGGTTAGTCCTCTTTCACACTAGGTTGTTACTGATAGTATCTGGCCAACAGAATGCCCACTTGACCTAAGGTCCTCACCAGCTAACACTCTTCAATAATACTTATTTGCTTTTATGCTCATATCATCATTTCAAATAAATTCATCAACTCTATAGTAAATCAATCGTTATCAAAATCAACCGATGTTAAACTTTCAAATTGTTCAAAGTGACCAATGCAGATTTCATTCAATTCATGCATGAAAGAGAATTAATTCTTTATTAAATTTAAAAAAATACAATACAAAAAGGTTATTCAATAAAACAAACTACTAGATTATTACAAATGAACATTGATAATTGAATTGTTTAAATCATAGTAGTTTAAATCAGTAAGGTGGATCCGATGCACATGTGAGGGCACGGATCGGCAAAGCAAGGGCTGCATTTCTACAGTTGAAAAATATCTGCAACTCCAAACAACTTTCAACCAAAACCAAAATCAGGATTTTTAATACAAATGTCAAGACAGTTTTACTGTATGGAGCGGAAACTTGGAGAAGTATGAAAGGCATCATCCAGAAGATACAAGTGTTTATTAACAGTTGTCTACGCAAAATACTTTGGATTCGTTGGCCAGACACCATCAGCAACAGCCTACTGTGGGAGAAAACAAACCAGATTTCAGTGGAGGAGGAAATGAGGAATAAGCTGTGGAAGTGGATAGGAAACACATTGCGGAAAGCACCTAACTGCGTCACGAGACAAGCCCTCTTCTGGAACCCTCAAGGTCAAAGTAAAAGAGGAAGGCTAAAGAATACGTTACGCCGAGAAATAGAGAAAGGTATGAGAAGAATGAACAAACATTGGACAGAACTGGAGAAGGAATCCCAGGACAGAGTTAGTTGGAGAAAACTGGTGTGCAGCCTATGCTCCATTGTGGGTAACAGGCGTAAGTAAGTAAGTAAGTTTAAATCAGTGGCGAAGAAAAATAATAATAATTAGAATTGATCGTTTAAAACTAGTAGCCAATGGTTACATAAATTTTATTACGAACAAAATTCCATTTTTAATGAAACATAAATTAGGATTAATTTCATATATGTATGATATAGTATAGTAACACTGATTATTGAATATGGTCAATTTAGTTTTTTCAAAAAAATATTTAGCGCGTAATGATTTATTAAAACAAAATAAACATTAATTAATTATTATTATTATTATCCGAATTCCAATGATTTGCTAATTAAGAATTGATATTTGAATAGTTCCGCATGAATTGATATTTATGTGTAGAACCCCGAAAACAAACAAATGAGAGAGAGAGTTTAACACGAATAATGAAATTGAATATTGAACTATAAAATGTAATTGGTTTGTTTTTCACGATAATAACATTAATTACAAATAATAATCATCATGTTAAGATAGAATAAATGAAAGTGATTGTGTAATTTTGAACAATGTATGCTAGTTAAGATATGAAAAGGTTAATTGTAAGAACACATTAAGTGTTTTTCTCAGTTTTTGTATAGTTAAAGCTTCTGGATAAGTTTTAGTGAATACCATTGAATAGTTTTATATAATAGTACTATAATAATCAGTTGAAAGGAATTCACCACTCTATATTAAATTTATTGACTATGAAAAAGCATTTGATTTTGGGAAACCGTGCCTGAGAAGAAAGTGAACATCACAGCCTCGTTTGAGGTGAAGATCGGCGTCAGGCAAGGTGGCTTACTCTCACCCGATTTCTTTCTCCTGGTGATCGACTGAACTGTGTAAACGTCAAAATCTGGAAGGAAACACTGTATACAGTGGACAGTCAGGATTCAGTTGGACGATCTGGACTTCGCAGATAATCTGACTCTTCTACCACACATACAACAACAATTACAAGAGAAGATGATCGGTGTAGCAACAGCCTCAGTAGGCTACCCTCAGGATTCGACCTCAATACCTTTGGTCGTGCGTTGGATGCCAGCTTAGTGTTCCAGATGTTAAGTCGTCCGCGCACAAGACTGAAGGTCGTGATTTCGAATTCTGTGAGTAGTAGGAGTAGTGAATGTGCACTGTTGATGAGTCCTATAACAAGACGAAATGGCTTGTAGGTTTCTAATGGTGGTCTAACAATGATTCATTCATAATGTCCGGAAACTAATAACCTTTAAGTTAACTAATTCTAATCACAGCCACTAGTATTTTTCAATTCCAAAAAAACATACAAGCAAGTTGTACAGTGGAACAATAATTCACATTTTTGTAACTACAGATTAACAAAATTAAATGAGTAAAACAAAAATCCACATTCAATGTACAATTTTTATTGTTTAATCATTTACTGATTGTGCAAATGACTTTACCATTTGTTTGATCAAATCTCTGGACAAATAAACATAGAATAAAATACATAAATTGAATGGATTAACCAAGTTTTAAAATTTGGTTCAAACATTTCATATTCTCTTGCCTACTGCCCTTATTTATGGTAATAAAAAGCAGAAACTGTAAACTTTCAAACATTTAATTTGATCGATTTCATGTTGACTATCATGTTGATTGTTGGAACAATCAATTGAATGGAACTCATTACTATACATCAACTTCATTGAGTACGATGAAGCATTCGATAGTGTAGAGAGGAAAACACTATGGAGGCTTCTTTGACACTACAGTGTGCCTGAAAAAATAGTTAACATCATACGGAATTCTTATGATGGATTAAACTGTAAAATCGTGCACGGAGGCCACCTGACAGACTCGTTGGAGGTGAAGACTGGTGTCAGTCAAGGTTGTTTACTCTCACCATTTCTCTTTCTCATGGTGATCGATCGGATTATGAAGACGTCAGCATTTGGAGGGGAGCACGGCATCCAAGGGACAGCAAGGATGAAGCTGAACGATCTGGACTTCGCAGATGATCTGGCTCTTCTATCGCACACGAAACAACAAATGCAACAGAAGGCGACCAGTGTGGCAATCCAAACAAATACCAATCAACACAAAAATCAGGATTTTCAATACAAATGTCAAGACAGTTCTACTGTATGGAGCCGAAACTTGGCAAACTACCAAAGTCATCATCCAGAAGATGCAAGTATTTATTAACAGTTGTCTACGCAAAATACTTCGTATTCGATGACCAGACACTATCAGCAACAACTTACTGTGGGAGAGAACAAACTAGATTCTAGTGGAGCAGGAAATCAGAAAGAAGCGATGGAATTGGATAGGACACACACTGCGAAAAGTACCCAACTTCATCACAAGACAAGCCCTTCCGTGGAACCCTTAGGGTAAAAGGAAAAGAGGAATGCTAAGGAGCACGTTATGCCGAGAAATGGTGAAAGATATGAATAAAATGAACGAAAATTAGACAGAACTGGACAGGGAGGCCCAGGATAGAGTAGGTTGGATGAAACTATGCTTTATTGGGGGTAACAGGCGTAAGTAAGTAAGTAAGTAATCATGTCTACAGTAGCACAGATGAACTGAACTACAGAATCGAAAACGTCTATCAATGAAAACAAATTGTTGACATGTTAGTTTTCAAGTTATCTGTATGAGTTTGTTAAGATGATTAAATTCTATTGAGCTGAAGTTAGTTGAAAAAAATTATTACCAATCTGAGGCCACTAGACGTTTGTTTCTTTTTAGTACGGGATTCTTCAGTAGGGCTCATCTGAAACGTAATAAACGTGAATGGAACGCAGGACCTTCTTTCTCTGGACCACTGAGCCAGTACTCGATGATTTGTGCAGTTCACTTGAGTCAAGTGGTAGCATTGAATATCATGAACAAGTCGTGCTGAGAAGTTTCATACTAGAATGAAACGGCTGTCTAGTGGTTCCACATTTCAAAATGTTTGACTGGTTTCGAATGAATTCTGATCTTAATAAAATTAAGTTATCATTCATTATTTATATATGTATGGTAGATTTTATACTGTACAAGTTATTTAGACAGTTCTTTTAACTGATAAATTTACTTGATCATCAGTTGAACACTACCCATATTTTTAGGTCACTTACTTACGCCTGTAATCCCCAAATGAGGCATAGGCCTCCGACTGGCATTCTCCAACCTACTCTGTTCTTAGGCTTCTTTCGGATAATGTGGTTGATCGGTAAGGTTCAGGATGATAATTTCTTCCTGCTTGATATCTATCAATTATCATATTTTAGTGAACGAGAACATGGGTGGGGCGAGTTACTCAGTAAAACTGGAAAACCATATCGTAAATCGTTCATTTGCAAAATATCAGTCCATCATATCGAACTGGACTGTTGCAAAACATCAATTCATTGTCACTATTCATGCGTTTCATACAAATTCCATTGTGTTCTAACTCTTCCTTTCTTGATCTTCCCCAATCTTCTGCTGCCAGACTTTACGTCGACACTCACATCATATACTACTTATAATTAGCTCACACCACAATATGAAGACTTTTGTTATCGATTAAATCATGACTTGTTCAGTGGATATGCTGCTTATGGATTTCAAGTATTTGTATTTCACAGCTGTCAATTCATATGATAGTGTCCAGAAAGGGGGCATAAGCGTTATTTTCAATTTAATATTTGTTAAAATTATTCTATTTCTCTATTTTAGGCATTGAGAACAAAGAATTACATTTTGATTTATGTCAATTGTATAAATCATCTGTCTGTAAAAATGGTCAATGTATACCACGTGGTAATACATATGAATGTTTATGTAATGAAGGTTTTGAACCGTCAGAAGATCGTAAAACATGTCAATGTAAGTTAGTGAATTATTATCTGTCTCTAAATGCTATACATATTGTAAGTTTGGTCCGGTATCTTAATTTTTTCAAAATAATTTACAGTTTATTCGTAATCGAAACTAGTAATAAAAGCTTCACAGTTAAATCCATCCTCTGCTAAAATCTCATCAAGGACAGCTCATAGATTCGTTCAACATGAAGAACAATGTCAGCTAAGGTTACTTACTCTCACAATTTTCTTTTTCCTCCTTGTGATCGACTGAATTGTGAAGACATCAACATGTGGAGTAAAGCACGGGATAAAGTGGACAACTAGGACACAGCAGGACGACCTACACTCCGCAAATGATCTGGCTATTCTATCGCACAAGCAACAACAAATGCATGAGAAGACAAGCAGTGTAGCAGAAGCCTCATCAGCAAAAGGTCCGAACATACGCAAAGGATAAAGCAAGATTTCCCGATAAAATACAATATGCACCAATCAAATCATACTTGACGGAGAAGCTTTAGAGAATGTAAAAGCCTTTACATATTTGGACAGTAAAATTGATTAGCACGGTGGATTTGATGCAGATGTGAAGAAGCGGATTAGAAAAGTGAATGAAACATTTCTACAACCGAAGAATATCTGGAACTCAAAACAACTATCAAACAATATCAAATAAGACAGTTCTAGTGTATGGGGCGGAAACTTCAAAAACCTCGAAAGCCAACATCTCCAAGAAACAAGTATTTAATAACAGTTGTCCAAGCAAGAAACTGAGAATCCTTTCGCCAGACAACAGTAACAATCTACTGTTAAAGAGACCAAACCTTATTCCAGTTGAGAGAGAAATCAGGAAGTAGTGATGGAGGTGGCCAGGTCACACATTTGAGGAAATCACTCAACTACATCACAAAATAGGCTCTGATTACGAATCCTTGAGTCAAACTGAAAAGAAGAAGGCCAAAGAACACATTACGCCAAGAAATGAAGACAGACATGAGGAGAATGAACATTAAATGAGTGGAACTAGAAAGGAAGGCTCAGGAGACAATGGGGTAAAAGGCTTAAGAAACTGACTGTTAGGATATTCATCCAATATTCTAAGAGAATTATAGGTCAATTCCTATTGGTTCATTGCTACTGGTCAATCTTATGGTCGTCCTAGATATCAATGTCACATACTCCAATGTTGTTTCTTATTGGTTGTCCTGACTGTTAATGTTACTTCAAATGTTACTTCCTATTGGTCATCTTAACTGTCAATGTCACAGAATTCGATGCTGCTTCCTATTTGACAAAAATGTATAAATACGCATTATTTGTAACGTTTTATGACCACGACCAGGACCAGGGCTCGATCCCGGATGCCTAGTCCGGGATCCTGATTCTCTTCTGGATTCGGACCTCGTACTTTCTGGATGCTTGTAGAATACACGTTCTACTTCATATCATGTCTTCTTATTTTTACTCAATATGGAGGTTGGGATAATCGGATTTGAGTAGCATGTCGTGTCACCGGATCCTCGATCCTCGCTCTCATTTTCCGACTAATGTAAACTCGTATTGTAGTTCAAGCATATCAAGTTGACGTGTTTAAGTGCAGGCGTAAGAAAGTAACCAAGTTAGTTAAACTCTCACCATCTCATATCAATCTCTACTTAGATTGTTCGTTTTGTAAAACAAAACTAAAAACTTCCATTCAACAAAGATTATGCATGATTACAATTTTTGGACAGTTATTATCTCTTATCAGATGTTGTTACAAACAGAAAATTAATTGTTAACAGGTCCAATCCGCCAAAAAAAAATAATATTGAAAACTTAATCACCTTATATATAGACAGAAATAATTTTAAAATCCAATATATCCTATGTGTGTGTGTAGAGGAAACTTCATTTTCCTATCCATTTTCTTGTTTTTTGTTGTTGCCTAATTCCAATGAACTAGTTATTATAAACAAGAGAATAATGACAAAAATATGCTTGAAAATTATTATATATTGCCGTTCAATGTTCAACAAATCTTTTGTTTATTAATAATAACAGTAATTGTGACTACATGTTGTGTTTAAATATAGTGTGTATGAGAAATTAAAGCCTGTATTAACTGATCACAGTTTGAATAGTTGAATATTTCTGGAAGGAAACACTGTATACAGTGAACAGTCAGGATTCAGCTGAACGAGCTGGACTTCGCAATTAATCTGACTCTTCTACCACACATACAATAACAATTACAAGAGAAGATGAGTAGTGTAGCGGCAGCCTCACTAGGCTATCCTCAGGATTCGATATCAAAACCTTTGGTCTCTGCGTTGGATGCCAGCTCAGTGGTCCCGATGTTAAGGCGTCCGTGCACAAGACCGAAGGTCGTGACTTCGAATTCTGTGAGCAGCAGGAGTAGTGAATGTGCACTGCTGATGAGTCTTATAACAAGACGAAGTGGCTTCCAGGTTTCTGATGGTGATCGACTAATTCACCCTAGTGTGGGATTCATCAGTGGTGTGCATCCACGGCCGTCACTCTCGGGGATCGAACCCAGGATCTCCGGTTTTAGCGCGCATATGCTTAACTTCTAGACCACTAAGCCTGTATCCACCGGTATTAAAGTCTAACTCTGATCAATCCAGCCACTGTCCTCAGTGAGCACTGCCTTAAACTGGTTATGACTTTTCACTAAACCTCAGAGAAACTTTCTCATGGAGCTAATTTTTAGTAAGCTCATGATTATTTTCACTGTAGGGTTTCTAATTGATGGATTCATCATTTGTATGAAACTCAACAATCAACTTTACATTATAAAATAATCAATCTAAAGAGTTTGAACAATGAACATTTGTTTAAAATGTATTTATATTCACTGATATGCATACAGATTGGTTAATAATTTAATGAATGCTTCAGTAAAGAGTTTCATAAGACGATTGTTTAAGTTATTGAATTCTGAATACAAACAATATGAATTTAATGTTCACTGTTTATTTGTTTTACTAATCTCAGATAAAATTGATATTTGTTCAATACATCGTGGTTATTTATGTACAAATGGACAATGTATACCAGCTGGACGTGATTTCTTCTGTGAATGTAATCATGGTTTCACTTTATCATATGATCGTAGAAGATGTATAAGTAAGTCAGTGTAAACATCTGCGAAGATGTTTTGTAACAAACAATTAACTTGATTAGTAAAAGAAGGGGAGAAGTAATTGAATTATGCTGTAACAAAACTTGAAATATAAAATAATTTCGTTTAATTTATGGATTATTAGAGATTCGGCTCTCAGATGAACAGTCCTTAGTGAAATAAAAATCTATGACACAGTTATAAGAAAAAATTACTGTTCAGTATGCAGTGAGGTTATATTATATTACCACCTAAATTACAATAAAATAAAAGTTTGAACATTCAAGTGTTTATTTTTTCGAAAAAGAAATATTCTTATCCCATAAATCTGTGAAATGTCGATTGATATCGAACTAATGGACTGAGAGTTGTTATGTTTTGACTTGTGATTTGCTTCGAGAGGGAATTTCCGCTATTCGAATAAAAATGGAATTTAACTGTGTCAAGAGAGAGTAAAGTGCCATCGGGGATGACGGATGGTAGTTGCATCATGCCACGAACTAGCTGAATGAAGTTAAACATAAATGTCATTCGATTTCACTCCAGTAGTCTAAAAGTTAAGCATTCACATGCAAAATCGAAGGTATCGGTTTCAATCATTGTCATAACGTGGATCTTCGTCTGAAATTATTTACTACTAACATTATTAGTTGTACCAAAATTCATATGACTACTATTCGGGAACTTAGATTCCTAAAACTCACTTGGAAATGGTCATCATTTTGGATATTTTATGTTTTCGCACATAAGGCACTTCACCTTATATTTTCCACTCGGAAAATACTCGACTGTGATTGGTTGATGGATTATTTTAGTACGCTATTTTGTGGCTCTCCAAAGGACGTTTCTATTATGTATAAATAAGCTCGATTCATGTACTTGTCAACTTCACATTTTCTGGCTGCTTGTAGAATACACTTTCTACGCCTTATCAAGACTTCTTGATACAGTTTAGCTGGGCCGGGGTGTTGGGGATGTTAGATCCCCAGAAATCGCTTGATTGGATTTATTTCAAGGACCGATCAGTTGATCTTGAAATCACATTTCTCACCAGAGAAATCCTTGGCTGTGATTGGTTACTGTGTCATTTTTTAGTGTGCTATTTTTGTAACTGTCCCAATGACGTCTCTATAGAGTATAAATTAAACGCACTTTGAGTGCTTTGATTCATTGTGTGCTGGCTGTGTGTTTGTAGAATACACTTTCTACACTATACCAAGACTTCTTGCTGGTACAATTTGGTCAAGGGATCACAGTAGCCTACCTGGACGATGGCTCATTGTTTTGTTCTCGTTAATCGACTAAGGTGAACTCGTAATAGTTTAAGCATACCTAGAGACGAGCTTAATACGGGGAAAAATGGATTAGAATAGCCTGTCATGTTACTGAGTCATTGCTTTCGTCCGGTGAACCCGTAATAGCATTCAAGCATATCAACTATGTACGAAAGTAATCAGCAAATCCAATTTCTCGTTTTAAAAATTGATTTTTCTTTAATTTCGTGTGCACTCCTAGGTAAATGTGAAGAATTAGGACCAAATATTTGCCCGAATGGTTATTGTATTGCCTTATTAAATGGTGATTATGAATGTCAATGTGAAATCGGTTATCAAAGTACACCGGATCATAAAAAGTGTATCATACAAATGGAAGAATGTAAGTGGAAATATCCGTTTCTTATCTTTCATGTATACTTCGTAAATCTGTATGTGGGTAGAAATCCTACAGTGGTAGGGGCTGTTGCACTATTAGTAGCAAAGATTAGGGATCTAAGGTATTGTTTCGGGACGTTAGATGCTCAGAAATCAGTTGATAAAGGTCCGGATTTTGGATTTTATGCTTTCGCGCATGGGCTGATCAGCTGACTTTGAGATTACATTTCCCACCCAAAAAACTCTTGACTATTATTGGTTGATATATTATTTTTGTACACTACTTTGGTGGCCCTCTCAAGGGCGTTTCTATGATGTATAAATAAACTCAATTTGTGTGCTTGAAACCTCATATTTTCTGGGTGCTTGTAGAATACATTTTCTACGTCGTATCAAGACTTTGTCTGCTCGATGATGGCAGTAAGAAGTCATAAACGCATTAGGTTGGATGAGTCTACACCTACTACCTCAGTCCAGTTGTCATTGACTTCATAGATTTATGCCATGTATTGACTGACCGTCCCTAGCCTTCTCCCATCCTATTCGTACATTAGAAAAAATCGCTGTTTGAGGTAGTCGGTGGTTTGGCTAAAGTAACATATATCGCAGCTGCCTCAATTGATGAAAATTCAATGTCGCATTAACGAGTTTGTCATCCTTACCTAGTATCTTTTTCCTAACCCAGGAATTGCTTACTTATTAATCACAAGATACATTAGAAATTCTTTAAAGACACCTTTGATCGAATATTACTCTTAAAGTTCATAGTTTGTATCTGTGCATACAGTAGTGAGTTTTAAAATAGATCCAAACCGCATTTTTCAAAAGTCCTTCAAAATGTTAGTTAGCCAACAAATAACCAATGGAAATAGTTCAGATTGACGTGTTATTGATATTTTGACTGAAATTTAATTAGTCTTGTTTGACATATTGGCATCCAGTATGTGTTGGGGGATGTCAGATCCCCAAAACTCGCTTGATAAATGGCTTGTTTTGGATTTCACACTTGCCAGCATGGGCTGATCGGTTGGCCTTGAGACTTCATTTCCCACTAGGAAAATCCATGGCTGTGATTTGCTGCTGTGTATTTTAGTGTGCTATTTTCTTAACTGTCTCAAGGACGTTTCTATGATGTATAAATAAACGAGAGTTGTGTGCTTGATTGAACTGTGATTGCTGGGCGTTTGTAGAATATACTTTCTACGCTTACAAGACCTTCTGTTTTACCGCTTGGGATTCAAGGTAGCCTACCTGGACACTAGTAATTGTCTCATTCGCGTTTATCGACTAAGGTGAACTCGTAATAGCTTTAAGCGTACCTAGTGACGAACTTAACAGTATGAAACTGCCTCTATATGCTCATCATTAAAACAAGTTGACATAGAATATTGCTAGCAATGGAACCTATGCCTATTTCAAATTGAATGTTAACATGAACATGTTGTTTTCCAATGACTGACTATCTGAACTCGGTAGTTAGGTGGATAACGTGATGACTTTTTAAGCTAGTGTTACTGCGTTCGAATCCCAGAGTAGGTATCCACTCTGACAAGTAATACAGTGTGCATGTTAGATTCTTTGTTTTCTTTCAACTTTTTTTACCTCATTATTCTTTATCGTTTTCTTTAAAACAAAATAAAAAAAAATTCAATCAGCTTATTCAAATATGCATTACGCTAAACCTGTTCAATATTACAAGAACAAATATTATAAAAATAATAATAACCAAGAAAATGAATTTTATGACGATTCAATTCAATCCAAATCACAAATTGATCATTCCAACTATGATGGTTAGTTTTTGTTTAAAATTTTTTTTCATTCAATGTGTACATTATATAAATTTATGCAAAATAGGATTGACAATTTAACGTGAATTTATTTTTTTACTCAAAAGTTGGTTGTGTTGGGGATGTTAGATCCCCGAAATTCGCTTAATAATGCCTTATTTTGGTTTTCACGTTTGCCAGCATGGGCTGATCAATTGACCTTGAGATTTTAATTCCTACAAGGAAAATCCATGGCTTTGATTGGCTGCTATGTATTTTAGTGTGCTATTTTCTTAGCTGTCTCAAGGACGTTTCTATGTTGTATAAGTTGTATGCTTGATTGTATTGTGATTGCTGGGTGTTTGTAGAATATACTTTCTAAGCTTACAAAGCCTTTTTACTTCAGCCTCGGATTCAAGGTAGCCTAGATGGAGGCTGGTAATTGTCTCGTTCGCGTTTATCGACTAAGGTAAACTCGTAATAGCCTCAAGCATACTAAGTGACGAACCCTACAGGTTGATAAAGTTATTGAATGACAAATTATTCCATCTAATGGTCTTGTATATATATATATATATATATATATATATATATATATATATATATATATATATATATCTGTATGATTCAAATAACTAATCTATTTGGGATATTGTGAGTATCGATGAGTTTGTAGCGCATCCACTGTAGGATCTAAACTGAGGTTTGTATTGGAGAATAACTGTCCATGTAGTTTAGATATGCGCTATTGCCCAGTTGAAATCCAAAACAAGTGATATGGGTAAATAACGGTTCTAATATTCATCATAAATATAAATACATACATCATTACCTAAACAGTATTACCACTTCGTTATTCCACCAACAATTGTTCAATTATTTAAATCAACAGCAACAAATAAATGATATTCCATCCCTTCTGGATAAATCAGATTCCTTCAAAAGATAATATTTGGTTGCTTCATAACACAGAGTGTATCCTAATCTGGAAGGATGCTTCAATTCACAATCGAAATTCACAATTCTAGTCAATGCCAGCAACTCAATCAAAAGAGGAACAAATCAATATGGCTGTCGCCATGACTAAGCATCAGATTAAACAACATAAATGCATGTTCAGGAAGAAATGTAGAAACTCAATGAAGGCAGAAGAAATAGAAACTATAATAGAATACAAATATTATCATCATCTCAAATGGAATCGAACAGACTAACAAAATGTACAACTCAAAGAATCTTATATCGAAGAATCCTGCTTTTCCCTTTGTGTATGTTAAGACCTGCTTCTGTTGGGGCTGTTGCTATACTGGGTGTTCTCTACTACATTTGATGTTGAGTGTGAGATAGAAGAGCCTGATCATTTGTGAAGTCTAGATCGTTTAGCTGCATCATAGCTGTCCTTTGTATCGTTGGTGCCTCATTGGGGCTACTGCTGTTCCCAAGTGTGGATAAAGGAGGAGGATTGGGTGTGTGGGGTTAGCGACACTATTGTGTAGAAGACTGACTCGTTAAAAAAGCGCTCACCAGAAAAATAATTTCTGAGTTCAGTGAATAAAACTCCTTCACTATAATCATTCAGTTGAATGACAAGTTTTTCTCCACAATTATTTCTAAATTTATTATGAACTATGATTATCTTTACCAACAAACAATCAGTGTATACTTTCCGAGAAAGGCAAGAAAACATATTTGAATATTGTACTCCTATATGGATGCGAAACATGGCCGTTAACAGTAGGAGATGTTCGTAGGTTACTAGTATTCGATCATAGATGTTTAAGAAGCATTGCTCGTATATTGTGGGACAATCGAGCAAGCAATCCTGTCGTTAGGAAACGAGTTCTAGGTAAGAATGGCAGATCAATAGATGAAGTAATGAAACTTCATCAGTTGGGGTGGTTGGGATATGTGTTACGAATGCCCAACCACCGACTGCCTCGACGAGCTGTTTTGTGGTGTAGGAGTAGGTTGGAAGAAAGTTAGGGGTGGCCAGACCAAAACATGGCAGAAATGCATCAAGTCACTGACTAGTGGACTGAGTCATGTTGGTAGATGTAGACTACCTGGTTGTGGTCGGCGAGACGAAAGTCACCGATGGTTAGAAACTTTGAACGACATGGCCCAAAATCGTTTGCAATGGCGCAAGTGCAGCCATTGGTTGAGCTCTCTTAAACCCTAATCTTCTGGATTCGTCAGCACCTCTACCCTTGTCTTTCTAACCTTATTTCACTTAATTATACTTCTTGAATAATATCTTCAAACCCTAGTCTTCTTCATTAACATTAATACCTCTTCTATCTTTATCACGATGGGATTTGATTTGACATCTGCGTCTCTGTGCTGCCAATGTGGTATGGCAACATGAACTGATGTACTTGCATACCTACGAAGTTCTACGTTGCAACTGACTGACTGGCTGACTCATTTCTTACCCTGATTCAATGATGAAGGGTTTTAACTATAAAACAAGCATAACATTATAAAATTTAAACAGAATACTGAAATATTTGCACAATTAACGATAATAATAATAATAATAGTATTGAATTGAATATCTTGTCTATCATTCCTTTTGAAAAAAATACTGAAGGAAGTAAGAAATTTTGACGAGAAAAAATATATATTACAGTTAAACGAAACAGAAATAATTAGAATAACCTTTTCATATGTATGATTGTTATTTATGTGTTGATTAATTGTTACTAACTTAAAATATCAACAACATCATAATAATGATAATTACTTCAAAGTTTGAAAAAAAAATGCGTGAACGAATAAATAATTCATTCACTGATGTGTTGTTGTATTTAAACAAAAATTACTCACTTGAACACTTGAACACATTGAATCACGCGCGCTAACGCGCTTTATTGATTTGCACTTATAACAAAATATAATATATGAGAGTAAATATTAAATTTTACTAATAACAATCATAATAATATTTGTAATAATCGTATATTAAGATTCTCTTTCGCTGTTTTAAGTAATATATGTATTTAAATATAAAAAATAAATATGCTATTTCGCATTTTATTTCCTTTCCCAAATTTATGGAAATCTTTTTAGATAATTATGTACAGTTTTTTCCAGATAATTACAGCGTTTCCTGCATATATATGCGCTATTCATTTGAATAAAGGTTAAGAGGATTGAAAACCAGTAGGCCCTTTTTGATAAATTTTGATAGAACAGTGAGAAAACGTAATATGATCTGAAAAATTGTTGTGATGTATTTGCGCCTAATACATTTCGAACAATCTGATCACACACATATATAAACTTGTCAAGGCATTTTATATGAAGATGAATAAAAGGTCAATTAAATAAAAGTTCAAATAGACATTAGGTGATAATTATCAATGTGCAGGAGAGAGAAAATTAACGTAATATGAAAAGAATAAGAAAGGGTAGGAAAATTGTCACATTACCTCCTGGTAAATTCAATGTTATGACAAATTGTTTCTGCACATATAAGGTGGGATTTAATTTTCGAATAGCCAAGGCTTCCAAAAAACCTCAAAATTCGTCCTTCAACATTTCTATACAATGTTTTGAAGGCTATCTTGATGTCAATCATGTGCGCCCTATCTCAATTATGTGTTTTGCGATTGATGAACATGGTTTTCTATTTCCAACGCTAATTTGCTCATCTGACGTTAACAGATTTTGAAGCTACGAAGGTACATGTTCCATAACCTTTGATTACTGATTTTAACACAGTATTTTCATTAAAATTTATCACAAATTGAATAGTCTCCATTGTTTTGATTTTTTTCGTTTTTTTGCAGATGAAAAATCTGATCATTGGTGGCAAAATGACAATGACGTAAGAAAATTATCGGATAAACAGCATAAATCTTATTCACAGTGTAAGTTTTATGAGTTGATCTACATGTATACTCTTACGTTGGGTTATTTATGATTGATTGAAATGATTATTGAGTAAAATGCATTTATATATTTCTGTAATATGAAATATAGATAACATTCATTCCATATTCTGGAAATTAGAAAATCCCCATTTAATCTGACAATTCCTGTCAAAATAGCAAGTCGTAGGTAATTTATTTCATAAACAGATTTGATAATTGTTTGGTACTACTGAAATGAAAGTAAGTAACATAATGATTGCTTGTAAAATTTTATTTTAGAAGTTGAGTGTAATCATAAGCGGACAACTAGGAAGGTGGTATCATTAAAACTAAATAAAGTACTGTATATGCCTGCAGATTGTTCATGCAAATGAATCCGATATGAATTTCTTTAGCAATGAGATCCTCAAAATTTTCAACTCTATCTGTTCTGTAAGCATCATAAACTTGAATTAAGCGTACTAATATGTCGATCCCACAAGGATAGTCCCAACTGATTTACTAACTCTGTCCTGAGCGCCTACCTCATGTCCAACCCCTCCTCTTTTTATCCGGGCTTGGGACCGGTAGTAGCCCCGAAGGTTCTACTGGCGGAGTTATAGTCTTATATAGGCTTATATCTTGATTGAATTTATTCCAGTGTGCTTGTGTACTGCTCACTTTATTTATTACGTATCGAAGTTATTTTGTTTGATTGTAAGTACTTAGCCATGCTTCAAGGTATAGAGTTAGCTTACTCGACTTCGCCATTTCGCTTCGTTTTGCTTTTACGCTTTATATTCTCTCTTCTTTAACAATAAAAAGTCTCTGTATATTGTCAGATCACAACGAATATTTGAAACTCTGAATGAGGATGTTAGACTTTTCAAATTCTCTGAGCTAAATGTTTCAATTGTGGTTGCTCTTTATCAGTAGCAGCTAATTTTTCGGGTTATATTATTCACAACCAATCCAGTCGGATTAAAATTCACAGCATCTCTGTC